CACGTATACCTTTTAGCTTTCCTTTGGCCCCTGTGGAGAGTTTGAAAGAAGGGAAAGTATTTCACATTGTAGGGACTTTCTTCCTTAAAATTAGTTTCTCTCATGAAAGACGCAAGTAAATATAAAGTAATCCTTTTTCATTTCAACTGAGTCTCCGGGAAAAGTAATATCAGCTGAAGATTTAGAGACAAATAAAGCCTGTTCTTCATAAGCTCCCTCAGAACGAGAAAGCCTTTTAAGGAGACTCTTTGCTCAGGACAGATGCAGGGGAGGGGCTGTAAAAGGGACAAACGTAGAAAACAGAGGCCTCACTGGTTTCAAGTGGGGCAAGAGGAAAATGCTCGATGAGTAATATGAATTTGCCAGGAGCGGGTTTGCTGTGTTCTGCTCCCTCACTCCCACCATCAAGTCTCAAAGCCTTCTCAGCTCCACTTGCCAGGAGACGAAGTCCTGAGCCCTGCGGGGTCTCCGTAAATCACTCACAGCTACAAGCTTGAGCAGCGTCTTTCTTGTGTGTTTGTGGTTTTTAGCGTTTGATTTATCCCTTCAAAGAGAAAACTGACAATGCTGAGTCTATGGCCACTCTATAAAGGACAGCCAGGGACGTGCGTCTCCCCTCCTGTGTGTGGCTGGCCACACGCTGCCTGGAGCTGCCCTCCGTACCCTCAAGGACGGACAAACACAGGCCTGGGGAATGGCCCTGTATAAGGGGAAGTCAAGTCACACTTTCTCATCGAAGAAAGTTGTGTTATTAATCAGCGTACGTGGCACACCACAGAGGGATGGTTTTGAGTTAGGAAACTTGGCACCAGGTTGCTCTGCTCTCAAGTCTGTCCTCACACCGCTGGGTTTCTGGCCACTGTGCTCGGGGGTAAGCCCTTCTGTCACCAGGTGGAGAAATCATTGCATTGCCTTAGAGTTGACTAATCAAAGTGGCTTTCTGTTCCATGCCATTTCCCCCCACCCCCAGCCTCACCTGTACCCACTTACTCTAAGAGATTGCCACCAGCAGCTTTGGTCGTCCAATTTCTGAGACCAGTTTATTAAGAAAAAGCTGAAAGGCAGGGGTCAGAAGCACCTGCCCGTAGAAAATTGCTCCTCTTGTTTTTGGTGTGAGCAGAATGACTTTCCATGCCTGTGTCTCTAGCCTGCTAGGAACTAAGAGGTACTTTAAAAAGAAGAAAGTTGTTACAGAGGAATTTTTTGTTAGTGTCTCAAGACTTTGTTTTGCTGGTGTGTGTGATTACTTTGCCTGAAAACCACTTCTGTGGCATCCCTAGTATGGATGCAAAATGGGCCATTCTATTTCATCTCATGCGCAAGAAGCACTACCTTTGAAGGACAACACTTACCCAGTATGTGTGGCTCTGCTAAGAGTGCAGCAGGCAACTTTACTAGAAGTTGAATGTTTGCATCTGAAACCCACTGAAACTTGTCTCCAGCATCTGAATTGCTTTGGGGCATTTGGAACATTTTATCAGAAGCACACTTTGGAACTGAATCAAAAAAGAAACAGGGTTGGAGCTCTTTGTTTTCACACTCCATGATTTTCCCCCAGAGGTTCAAGCCACATTTCCGATCCATTAGATCAAAAGGGGGGGGGGGGCGTGTAAGATGGAGGCATGCCTATTTTAAGACTTCTTCAGATGATTCCAATGAATAGCCAAGTTGAGAAACATGATCTTCAAGAAGCAGAAGAAAGGTGTGTTGAGTTTTTGTGGCCCATATGTTCCTTTTGCATTTTTTCAGATTAACTTTGACTAGCTCCCTTCCAGGTTCACCTACAGAAGAGAGAGATGTTGCTCTGTTTTCCTAGCTTCAAACCAGAAATTCATCCTCTGGGCCAATCAGAGTGTAGGAAGGACAGAGTAAGAGGTAGAAGCCTCCTTCATGGACACACTAGTAAAAAGATGTTTCCTTGAATGCACTCAGAGGTTGGCTGGATCTGTTGAATTTTATGGAGAAAAACTTTATGGAGCCTGATGACACCTCTATGTTCAAGGAGAAGTCAGTACGGTTTGGTTCATAACCCAGGGGAATCCCTTCAGTATCTCTGCTTCTCACTATATCATGACAACAAAGTGCAAATTGACTTACGAGACTTCCCTGAAATTGTCCAGAGAGAGATGGAAGAGGAGATTATAGCACACACCAGGTGGCCAACCTTACTCAAAACTTAATCTTTCTCCATCAGGCAGTTTTAATTCCCTACCAAATTTGAACCTCCCCTTTCAAAAAACCTCTTCAACTGTCCAGAGTCACAATGACTCCCTTCATAACTTCCTTGTTATCTCTCAAGCACAGCCTTGTGGGGGATGGAGACGTTCTCAGTTCATTTGCCACTAGTTCAGAGATAAAGAAATATTTGAAACACATACATTCGTGGCAAACGGTCAAACTTAACACATTCTGGGCTCATGCTCTCTGATTGTGGAATTCCAGAAGCCCACATCTTCTGGATTGGTTGCCTGGCACCCAATTATCTATTGCCTTGCTCCTTCCTGTGTAGTGTTGTTGCCCCACATGGGTCAGAAGTGCCTTGAGGTTACCATTCTTCACCTCTTTGCACTTCCTCGGGGTCTGATTCACACTCTGATAAATACATTTGTTGATATACCAAAGCAACGTTGAAAAACACCCCTGTCTAAAGGTGATATTGAAGGGTATGAGGCACAGGAAGGGCACACATACTATATGACTTCCAACCAGAAGATGGGAAGATGAGTACCTTGTCCAAATGCACCCTCTCCAACAATGAGACTGAACCTCTTTCTGCATAGCTAAGCACTGATATTCACTTGCTTTGAGACTGGCCACGCAATCCAGAGAATAAATAATGGTAATGACTATAACAGAGGCTAACATGAGTGAGTGTGTATGGTACGCTAGACTCTGCTTGAAGGGCTTTGTGTGTATTAACCGACTCAGTCTTCTCCCTACCTGGGCCAGGCACATGTTGCTCTGCTACAGACACACAACCAGCCAGTCAGGAGGCTGTCCTTCAGACTCACGCCTCCTCAGAGCCCTACACGTTCACTCATTGTGCTCTGGCACGAGAAGCAAACTCTGCCTTCCACAAGCTTCCAGGCTAGTTGAAGAAAAGGAACTGCTGAGCACAGAACTTTCAGAAGCTAGGCAGACAGTTTGGATGCCAGACCCGTGTGAGGGATGTGTTACAGAAGCATTGTAAGTAGACTGACAGAAAGCCTGTTCAGGTACAGATAGAGGCTTCCACGGAGATTTGGAAATTACAGGGTTGCTGTCTGGGAGGGCGGGTGCAGCAAATAACAAGGAGCCACAACATTCAAGACCAAAAATAAAACCGAGGGAAACTTCTAGGACATAAATCTGCCCTAGACAGGTGAGGCGGAGGAGAAGAAAGGGCACATCCATTTTCAGGCCTGCACAGGTGCCTCTGACTCAAAGTCAATAATTGTTCAAGGACAAGGGCAATGATGAATGACTGGGAGATGACCTGTATGTCCAGACAAGATGGGTGGTACTGGGCACAATATAGAATGATCCCAACGTCAAAGAGATGAGACAGGCCCCCATCTTTGGAGGTGGGGGACTGCAAACTGAATGGTACATATACCCTACTTCCCACCCCTCACACACATCAGTAGATGAGGAGGGCAGTGGATCCTGAGCTCAAGTGTGAAGGCTGAAGCAAAAGTGGTTAGGCTTCTATGTTCTGGAAGAGATGAGGTGTAATTCCGAAGGGATACCCTGCCTGCCCTTTGCTCTCTAACCTTTGTATGTACTTGTAGGAAAAGTATAATGTTAGACTTACTAAAAACACTCTCCATGTGCCAGATAGGGCTGAACAAGCCATACTGGGGATACCCTTAAACTAAGTACACACTAGACCCAGGATAAAGCTGAGTCTTTGCGGCTCTGCCACCCAGGTCTTTGTCTGCAATGTTGCACACAAAGCCATCCATTTAGCAGACCAATAGCAAATAGTTAAGTGAAAAGTAATATAAATCTACACCAAAGTCAACTGAAAACATTGAAGGGAAGTCCGTCTATGCTTCTCAACAAAGTTCCCCAAAACACCATCCTGAATCACATCCTGTAGCTGCCCGAACATATCCCAGGACCCTTCCTTTCAATCTTCCCTCCGATATTATGGAATCTAGCCCATAAAATCCTCCTCTTTTCTCTGGTATTTTCTCTTTCCTATAACTGTCTGCCTTTTCCAGTGTCCTCCAGGCTAGTGGTATCATCTTGCCCAGTTCCTGACCATTCCCATTCACTGATACCAGTTATTAAGGCCCAGAAGCCAAGGCTCCAACAGGTTCTCCTTTGGGGTGGAGGGAGAATACCAGAACTATGAAACACATTTCTATGATCTAGGGATTCTCTTTTCTTTCTAAGATTAACCACCCCTTTCCTGTTTTATGAGTAGAAATTATTTGTTTTAGTTCTACCCAAATCCTTAAGGTAACTTAGCCTTGAAGCACAGCTAATTCTGCCTGCTACACACTAGCTCAATAATTCCCCAAATCTCAGACTCTTACGGAGAGCTCATTAAAAAGCACAGATTCCTGGGCCTCTCTCCAGACCTGCTGAGTCAGAATGTGGTGGACACATTCAAGAAATCTGTGTTTTTAACAAGCTCACCAGGTAATTCTGATAACATGTTCATTTGAAATCTATTCTTACCTAATTAATAAAGGTCTGAACTGGCTTCATTTGTACATAAGCCTCATTTCTGTAAGAGAGATTAAGAGACCATGTAGCTGACCTCTGGGACGTGAGTGTGGGCCGTGAACAGAAGCCACAGAAAATGTGGGGATCCAGGGAATATAGGCATCAGCAGGGTTGGGACCCAACTATTTCACACATTCTGCCCACATCTCTATGGTTTCTTGTAAATTGTTAGTGGCAATCTAACAGATTAGCAGCAAGCAAACTTACATTTTGTTTATTGCCATAACTCAGAAAAAGCTCTTGGTTCTAACTAAATGTCTGTTTTTATGTTCTGTCACTTCCAGGCACAAAAGTAACTTGAACAAATCCCAAGGCATACGGAAATGGGCCTTGTTCTCTAGGACTCTGCAGCATTGAAAATGAAGCTAAGCAGACTTTATTACATCCTACAATTCTGCAACCTTTTGCAAAGCATTTTATTCCACTTGTGGAACCCACTGGGGTTATGTTTCAATCACTGTGACTGACAGGCTGACTTCGAAACAACAGCATCGACAGCCCTTCCACACTTCCTGAGCTATGTACTTAGAATAGAACCTTTTCTAAATTGTCCCTTGGCCTGGATGGAAATAAAATGGTGGTTAAAATACTTATCTTGTGTGTTGGGTAACTTAAAAATTGATATTTTGGGGCCTCTGAAAGGCGTAACTGAGAAAGTCGATCTTTTAGAACTACCATGCCTCCTGTAACCAAAGGTTTGTTAAAGCGGAGATAAGATTTAGAGAGTTTCCATTTTGGTAGTGAACAAAACAGAACAAGAAATGCATAACTTTCCTTGGTTGTATTCTCTTCCTGCCTTGAGTGAAGAGAGGCAGAGCTGAAATAGCTTAGGATGGCAAAATGGGCTGCGGTAAACTAATAAACGTGCAATGAGGTGATCAGACATGTGGGACTGGCTATTTGAGTGGTAGGAATGTAACAAAAGTGAATGGACAGGCTCTTAATGTTGGTTGAGGAAGAACACCTCTCACCCATAATAGTCAATGTTTTTAACGAAAGATGACAGAAGGGCGTTCTTTCTTTCCTCTGGTAGATTAATAAAGGGGAGATTCAGGTTTATAGAGAACAATAAAATACATCAATGGCACTGCTATATAGAACCATAGAAAGCCTCCTTGAGAATATCTTGGCCTACGGGCTACTACCTGACCCCACCACCGTCATTGATATATGGCATATTAGTTTGTTGCATATGAGTCCTGTAACAAATTACCACACACTGGGTGGCTTCAAACAATGGAAATGTGTTCCTTCATAGTTGTGGAGGTCCAAAGTCCAAAATCCAGTGAGGCCTGCTCCCTCCAGGCTCTCTGGGGAAATCTCTCCTAGCTGCTGGTGGCTGCTGGAAAAACTTGGGAGTTCCTTGACATCATCCCAGTCTCTGCCTCTGTCTTCACCTTCCTCCTCTTCTCTGTGTCTCCTTCGTGTATCTCTTATAAAGACTCTTGTCCCTGGATTAAAGGGCCCACTCAAATAATCCAGAATTATATTCTCATGTCTTAATATCCTTAGCTCAATTATGTCTGCAAAGGCACTTTTTCAAAATAAGAAAGCATTTATAGGTTCCAGGGATTTGACATGGACATACCTTATGGGGAGAGGGCACCATCCAACCCATTCTTTAGGACATTTGGTCTTTGACTGTTTCTTATACAGTACACACCATTAGACTGAGTATGACAATCACATCTTTTTTCAAATCTTCTTATATGTCTTTGCCAAAGCCCTATTTATTGACAATATTTTGGCAATGTCTTCATGAGACAAAGCCACTCATTCACAAACCTAATCTGAGATGCTTCTTTCTTAGCTGAAGGGGAAAAGCACTGCAATCTGAACAGGATGTGTTCAAAAGATAAAATACCAGTTAGGGAAGATGGCAAGTACTAGTGATTTCCCCAAGCTCAAGGGTTGATTTTGTGGTCCAAAAGAGAGCCTTACAAATGCCAAACCTTCTTATCCTCAGAAGGTCAGACACCAATTCCATCTCAATTTTAATAGCAAATGTCACCAGGAGGCCTGGCCCTTGCCTTCGGGGCTAATTCCACATTTTACTCATTAGCTTTCAATGAAAGACATGAATAAACATGTAGTCACTGATGAAACAGTTGAGTCATACTGTAAGCCTACTAACAGCTTTGCTTTCCATTTTGTCTATCCAGTTAAAACCCTAGAGGAGCCTCATCTCTGCCTTTCCTCCCATGGATTTCCTCAGTTCAGCATCTTCCTGTAACTCTGCCATGGTTTGGAGGCTCTGGAGGCTGGGGGTGTAGAAAGCCAGCCCTAAAGCTCTATTTCCATGCTAGTCCCATGAACCTATGCCTGGTTGAAAGGCATGATAGCCCAATAAGAACTGTTTCCAGTGCCTTTTAAGAGATGTTTCAAGAACTAACAAAGCCTACTGATACCAATATGGGAAAAACCAACTATTATCGCATTTGCTTAAGTGGGTCTGGTCTGTATGTAGAGAATTCAAAACGCAAGAACAATGTCCCTAGAAGTAGCCTTCTTTTTCTTTCTCATTTCTTCTTGTGCACAAACACCCACTAGGTTGTTTCTTTTTTGCTCAAGAGCTGGGTAAATGCTAATTTTATGGTTAACAATGGGTAACTACATGCATATAGGAGTCAATTTCCATTATGCTTCTCAGACAAGAGCACAAAGGCACTCTCTGTATTGATACCATTCTGGAGGAAAATGTCCCCTATGTGTCTGTGTACTCACTTTTCAAACTCTAGGCCCACTCCTTATCTTTACGGTTCCATCTACAATCAAATACCAAGTTGCAGAAGATAATGACACTCTTTTTGGCAAGAAGCTTGAAAGGAACATTCCTCATGATTATCTCCATTAAAGTTAACCCAGGGTTACAGAATACTCCTCAAACTCCATCAATTCTTTGTTTGTTTGTTTTTAGAGAGAGAGAAAGAAAGAAAGTAGGGAAAGAGGCAGAGAGAGGGAGAGGGAGAGGGAGAGGGAGAGGGAGAGAGAGAATCCCAAGCAGGCTCCACACTGATGTGGGACTCAATCCCATGACCCTGGGATCACTACCTGAGCCAAAATCAAGATTTGGATGCTCAACCTACTGAGCCACCCAGGCATCCCACAATCCCATCAGTTGTTTCAGACAGTGAGAAAGAGCTGTGTGTCTCATAAAACATAAACCACTTCCATCCATCCCTCTCTGTATCCAAGCTTGAAACTCAGTACCTACTTCTTCCAGTGGTCTACAGCTATTGGGTATCATTGCCCAAGAGACTGGTGAAAGAAAGAAACTTTTCTTGTGTATTTATTGTAGATACATTTTCAAATGTTATTTTACTTAACTCATACAAGATCCCTGTACAATATATGTGAAAATTTGGTTCAGAAAGTTTAGGTAACTTGATCAAGGTCACAAAGTTGACAATAGGTCAGTTTGGGATCAACTGAGGTCTTATTTCCAAAACCTATGCTTTTTGGAGAATCATCAATAGTGGAGAGCTGTCAGCAAATTTAATAAATACCATTCCCAGTTTCTATCCTGAACTATCAAGATGGTACACTGGTCCTTTGTACTGATGTTCAAAGGCAAAGGGATAGTTAAGGAAAGGCAGGGAATATTTAAACATTCTCAAGGTGAGAGCATCCCTTTAATCATGTAAATGAAAGCAACTAATGACATTTCTATAACTTAAGAATATACAGGAAGAGTATCATAAAAAATGCTTACTCTGTGAGGCAAATATGTTAACCAAAAGGTTAATGATTACCTATCCTAGAAAGAGAATTACATGTAAAAGTAATTCACATGTAATTACTTACAAGGATTGAAACCCCATCAGTCTAACTTGCAATAACCACCACCACCAACTCTCAAGCATGGTCATGCACTTGCAGTTCATTTCATTTCTGAAAACATCTTGACCATGTATACCCTGCACCAAATTGAAGGCTGTGGGTCCAGCAGCCAAAAGTGAGATAGCTCCTTAAGGTATCACTGGAAAGGGGAGTAACTGTGGATTGCAAAGGGAAGAGGAATAGGAAGAGAAGGACTGTTTTCAGCAAGAACACGGACCCAGTTCTAGATGCCTAGAAGATGGTTTTCTGAATCCAGTCATCTTCTTCCTCTACCTCTTCCTCGTGAGTTACTCCTTGCAGAATATCTATATACTGAGCATTATGTCAGGCATTTTCAAAGCACAATTTGATTTAAGCCTCACAATAATCAACCCATCTTCCTTCCTTCTTTCCTTCCTTCCTTCCTTCTTTCCTTCCTTCCTTCCTTCCTTCCTTCCTTCCTTCCTTCCTTCCTTCCTTCTTTCCTTCCTTCCTTCCTTCTTTCCTTCCTTCCTTCCTTCCTTCCTTCCTTCCTTCCTTCCTTCCTTCCTTCCTTCCTTCCTCTTTTTCTTTTAAACATGTATTTATCCAACCACTACTGTGTGCCAAGTATCCTATGTACTAGTTGCCCAATGCTTAACAAAAACATCTGGACGTAACTACTGTTCTCCTTCTATAGATGAGAAGCCTGCAGTTCAGAGTGAGTGAGTTGCTTAAGGTCATACACTGATAAGAACACATGTTCCCATACTAACGCCTGGAGCTCTTTCCCCTAAGCCAAGCTGTTTCTCAGAAGACAGGACAAGAAGACACAGCTGGTGCCCTATGGCTAATTCCTGGTTTTCCCTACAAACCAGGCCTAATAAACACACATACTTTTTTCAGATCAAAATTATCTGGAGAAAACCAATCTAGACCACTAAGGTTCAATCTTTGTCAATCCAGTGAGCATTTACTAAGTACCTTCCGTGTGTCCATCCTGGGGAAGGCCTCTGAGAAAAACTGAGGTATTTCTATGTTCTTTATGTTACCCTTGAGATGCCCCTACTGTCCTCTACCATCTCTGCAATATAGCAGCACTTTGGCCACTCTCTGAGCATTCTGTCTAGTCACCTTGGTCACAGGTGAACATCTTCCTATCCCATGCCATTCCTAAAGCAGAATCTGAAATAATTCTCTCAGATTCCCAATGACACCCCACGCCCCCCCCCCCCCCCCACAGGCTGCTGGTTCAAGGTTACATAGTTTTCCCACCAGGTTGCTCAGCTCTCATTCCTCCACTGTTTTTATTTTCTTTCCTGCCCCTCCCCCCTTTTCTTCCTTCTGCTGGAAGGTAGGCCCACAAAAATAAGTCCATAACCTTGAGAGACAGCCTAAAGCAGAAGTTCTCCATTGCTACCACTGGGAAGGTTTGTTAAAATGGACTGCAAGGCTGTACCTCCAGAGTTTCAAATTCAGGAGATCAGGAGCAAAACCTGACAGGGTGATGCTGGCACTAGTGTGTCAGGGTCCACACTTTGAAAACCACTAGCTTTGAAAGGGATGATTTTTTTTCTATATTTAAACAGAATTTGTTCCCAGTACAGAAAGAATCCAGCTTGTTTTCCAGGCCCTGAATTTCACAGATCTCACTCTACAGGTAATGAAATGCAGGTTAAATCCAATCGGTCCACTCAAGCATCTCCAGTAGGTTTCTGGAGTTATTTAACACCGTAGAAGACTTCTTGTCGGGGCTAATTAAGTGATTAGTTTAGATCGATAGATGAACAAAGGG